GTCGGTGTGTGGCTGCTAGTGAGCTATATCCACCCGAAGGTTAATCTTGGACAATATCTGACGATTGACTCTTTTAAATGAAACCAGAGAGCGTTGACAGAGAGGAGAAGGTAGAAATGACTCAGCCTGTAACTGAAAATATGGATGGAGGACCTCAGTTTAGCTTGTTGGTTGCGATAGCGCCGAGCTAATACATATAAGGCAATAGCGGCGGCGCTAATGCAAATGCTAACAGGCTAAGCTGAGGTTCTTCTTCCATGAAGCAGCTCTGTTGTCCTCCATCCATATTTTCAGTTACAGGCTGAGTCATTTCTACCTTCTCCTCTCTGTCAACGCTCTCTGGTTTCATTTAAAAGAGTCAATCGTCAGATATTGTCCAAGATTAACCTTCAGGGTGGATATAGCTCACTAGCAGCCTCGCACCGAGGACCTATCCACGTCATCATTTACCCAGTATGCTTTGCGTGTAAATAAAATGGCTCAGTCCCTGTTACAATATATTTTTAAAATTTTACTAGACTAAACAGCCTACAGTATTTTTACATATTTTGCAGTTAAAATATATGTTCATCAAATAAAGTCCAATGTTACAACTAATCGTGGATCCCTTTAAAGTACCCTTGACATGCACTTCCTTTAAACACAAAAAGTCAAAGAAAACATCTTTATATTTAAGAAACTTGGCATATTACACCAGTTTATCCATTTTGTCACATAATTGGCGTATTGTCTTTTGAATTTGGCTCAGCCAAAATGAAACAGGAAGTGACATCAAAGGGGAACCCTTTAAAAAAGAAAACTCTGTGGTCTTCGTTGAAACAATATTATTTGAACACTGATTCTTTAGTGACCCAACATAATCCAAAGCGGGGGCTTTCAAAGTAAACAAGCGTATACCCCAACATTTTCATGATTGAGGTTAGAAAAACTCAACACAGGTGATAATGGAAGAATCAAACAATACACCAAACCCCTATTAAAACAGAAAAGATTAGACAATAACTGAATCAGGCTGGAGAGGTGTCATGATATTGTAGATATGGCAAACTCTTATCCATTTTTGAATTTTAAATTGTCATCTTACTGGTCTCACAATACCTAAATAATTAAAATGTAGCCCATTAGGAAGCTGCAGATGAAGGCTGGCATTGAACAAAGTTTTGTCAAATCCCAAACAAATGTCTTCTGGGGTACTGAGGATGGGCTCTGGTCTCATAAAGCGACAGAGGTGAACACAAGACAGGAGGATAATGCTCCTGTGAGGGGGCATCGCTCTTTAGAGACAGGCATAAAAGAGGACAATAAGGAGCTGTGATCTCCCTCTGAAGGCTATTAGAAAGTTTACTTCTACCCCTCTGAGCAGATAAGACACATTTGTCCAACATCAAATCAAAAGTTCCTCTGACTGCGTCATACTCAACAACCTCAAACGGGGCAAATATGTCCTTATTAAGGCTCGTTCACACCGAGAGCGTTTTGAGCGGCAGGAGCTGCCAGTTTACATGCAAAGTCTATGGCGAACGCGCCTCAAGGGGTTATGCGTCGCGTCACGCGCGTTATGAGCGGCGCGCAAGGAAGGCGGAAGGGGCGCAGAGCGTTTTCCG